GTTTCCACAGAGCACCTCTACTGGCACAAAGCAAGACACTTCACATCCCCATTTCATAAAGTTCCAAGGATCAGGCTGAAGAGTGAAGCTGGGTACCACAAGCCAAAACAACAGAGGAAAGAAAGCAGGGGTCAGAAGGCAGTTCCTAGAGAGAGGCCTGATTCTCACCAGGCAACTGGGTACTACTTGAATGAAATGACTGCTTTGTTACATATTGTCTAGGAGCACTAGAGAGAAAGATAACACTCTCCAAATCAGGCGGCACCAGGCAGCCAAGAGAGCTCATGTAAAAACTATTAAAAGTGATAAACTTAGAAGTATTTTAACTTCAGGAGCAAAGTAGAGCTAACATTTATAATCTTAAACGTTAATCCCAACTGCTTTCATTCAGTTACACTAACAAAAATTCAGGAATAGAAAAAATACAAAATGATATGAAATGCATAAGATCCTCATTACCATGGCCACAGGACCTCCCTCCTGAGCAGGACATCATTCACAAGGCAGGGGCCTAGAATGTTTTGGTTGAGTGCCACCAGATGTGGGTCCCTATAAAAGTTGGGTTGGCAAGCAGGTTTGGGTGAAATCAACACCTGTGAAAGGAAGGTGGTGGCATCAGGTTGGGCAGAGGGATAAGTCAACCACAGCAATCAGGCCCAACAAAGCCTGATCCTTGCCAGAGGTCTGAGATAGACAGCCTATCGGAATTGGACCTTGAAAGGCCTTTATGCTCCTGCCACCTTCAATCTTTGGATGTGGGCAGTCCTGGAATGGGCACATCCTAGGGCAAGGAGACTCTCCGCAGCTGAGGCTGTCCCCCTAAGAAGAAGATGGCTAGAAGCTTCCTGAATTCCCATCAGCAGAGATTCCTTAGCAGGGTGATGGGAAGTGCATCTCAATGACCGCCACGGGCCTTTTTGATTCTACACAGGTAAAGACACAATGGCCCCATGGCAACATATCTAATCAGCAGCACAGTAGCACAATCCATCTCTCCTTTAGACCTGCTGATCTAAACTGGAGTGTGAGGTCAATGCATTATAAAGGGAAACTCCAATGTTTAGTAAAGAGACTGTACAAAAGAAGGGCTGTAAACCCAAAGTACAGAAAGAGAAATTAAATAAAATGTTAAGAATCCTAAACCCCCGTTGCAGTTGCTCTAAAAGAAATGATTGCCAAACATGGTACAAAATGAAAACAATTGAGAAATATGAAAAACGACAATGAATTACACAAGCATAAAGGCAGTCTAAAGGGTTCTTTTATTTCCTTCTAATTCTGAAATGATAACCTCTCTTATAATTGCCTTAGGATGCTGATACAATTGAAATGTTAGCAGAAAATAATAAAACACATTTGCAGAAAGGAAAAAAAAAAAAAACCCTGAAACTAAAGCAACTGTAATAACAACAAATTGCCACAAGGAAATAGTGTGTTCTAATTTTTAATTTTGCTTTTTCAAGAACAAAGGAATCCAATAATATAATAAAAGGTGAAAAACCTACACCATAAAAACAAATATAAAGAGTTGCTGAGTATTTCCAAGGCTTGCAAAGCAGTCCCCATTGATTAACTAACTATAGAAAGAGTGAAGTTTTTAAGCAATCCTTGGTATCCAAAATGTAATTGGATATGATGCAGCAAACACAGGCTTTACCACAAGCTGGGTACCACAAGCCAAAACAACAGAGGAAAGAAAGCAGGGGTCAGAAGGCAGTTCCTAGAGAGAGGCCCGATTCTCACCAGGTTGTTTTAACATTCTGGTTTTCATAGGCTCAGAAATATTATTCAGTGATTGCTTTCTGTCCTTTCATAAATGCAAAAATCAACGATGAGCTCAGAAATAAAACTGCCCACAACACTTAGCAGCAGGTGATCCTCATGTGGAATTCTCTGTGTCAGTTCCCCTCAGGTGAAAAATGGGGATCACAGATGCAGTCCAAAGAAAAACATCTTTGTAAAAGTGCTCAGCACAGGATTTAAAAGTGCTAACTATCATCGCTATTGTTGTTATTATCATCATTATTATTTCTTTTTTTAATATTTATTTTTCTTCTATTGTTGATCAAATAACATTCAGATTCATGGGGCCAAAAATATTCTTCAGAAGATTGCAAAACACATACACAGACACATGTACACAAACACAGACCAAAGAAGTAACAACAAAAGTCCACAATTAAGTGGTGCCTCTGAAATCCCTAAAATAGGAACAATCACATTTCTTTAGGGTCAAGAGAAACAGCCAAGAATCTTGAGGAGATTATTACTATTCAGTATGAACACTAAGAAAACACACAGCACTATTTGTTTTCTGTGACACAGACCCTCTCACTCTTGTAGTTCATGAACTGGGTCTGGGTTCAGGTCACCTTCTCACCCTGCTCAGCATGTCCCTGAAGCAGCAGCACAGCAGACGTGACAAGCCTGGCAAACCCAGGGACAAGCTCTTCCAACCAAGGCTCTCAGCATGAGGCAAAGCTGTGTGGGCAGAGTCTCTCAGCATTTTCAGGGCATTCAGTTATTGTGTGATTGGAGGTAAAACTGATCATGGCTGCAAGAAAACAAAAGACTACAAGGCTTTTTTCACTGACAGGCTTTAGGACACATGAACACCACATGTTGTCCAAGGTGGATTTTTCCGCGATTCTGCTAATACAAACAAAGACTGAATCTGAAGATTTTATAATAGCAACACCTATCTGTAATGAAATCTGATGCTGAAAAGTGTGGGTCAACAACATTTTTAAAACAATAAGGTAAATATATGCCTGAAAAAGAGAAGCTACCACTTCATTGTTGTTTCAAAATGTAAGACTCCTAATTCTTTGTCATGAGCCTGCCTACCATGTCAAGACAGCCATCAGAGTCAGAAAAAAATCACATATTGCAGAAATATTTTTTATACGAAAATCTGCTCTCTGGAAATTGTCACCTCAGTGCACAGTTTTGAAAGCTATACAAATCCAAATGTTAAAAATAATAACACGAAGAAGAGTAAAGAATCACATTTGGAGAAATGTATATCCTCAATCTGCACAGGGTCTAGCACAGTGTTTCTTTTTAAAATATTTGCTAGTACTCAGTAAGGATGTTAAAGCCACCTCCACATCATGACAGCTGGGCCACAGGGCTGTTTCCATTTCCATGAGCAGCAACGGAGATAAAGCAACCACAACTATCCCTCTTTGATTTCATTTCCCCTTCCTCACAGTTCCTGCTTTTATTGCCTTAATTTTCCTTTACTTTTGTCATTTTTACATATTTTCAAATTGATTTAAAATCTTTAACTTATAAAGCACCTTTCACATGTTTATCTCATTTTATTCTCACATGAAATAAGTATTGCCTCAACTTTGAAGTTAGAGAACTGAGGGCTAAAGCAGTAAATGACCTGTTCAATATTTCAGAATAAGTGGATAGTAGAGAACTTCATTTTCACCTGATTCCACACTACCATCTGTCAGTGGGCATAAGACTTGCTGTCAATCATCTTCCTCTCTGTCTCCTCTTCTTTTTTTCTTTCCTTAATGCTATTCTGTTTTATGTGTGTTTTCAAGGACTAGCAGTTGTGTCTCACCTACTTTGTTATATTGTCTTCTTTTCTTCCTCCACCTCTTCTTGTTTAGTGACCAACCCCTTCACTGGCTAATTCTTACTTATCCTCAAAGTGTCAGTGGGGCTGTCCTCCACCAGGAACCCTTCTGAGTGCATACTCTGCCCTGGAGGACGCCTCTCTCCCCTGTGTCCACAAAACACTTAATGTTTCTTAGCAGAGGATTTAAGATCTGTGGCTTCTTGAAGACAAGGATCATATCTAGCTTATTATATACCATGATGCCTGCAACTCCTTGAAAATCCAGTTTGTTAATCTCACAAATACTAAATTGTGAGATTAACAAACTGTGATTGCAGAAATGTGTAGGAATGCATAAAAAAAAGGAGGATTCTAAAAATCTCTTTCCATAGTTTGACAAGGGAAAAATTCAGATGAGCCTGACTCTGTATAGCTACTTGAGACAGAATTGTATCTCCTAAAAGTACTACAATTCCTCCTATCCCAACCTTCCTCCAAAACGGTGTGAACACTATAATCCATCTCTCTGTATTTCAGTGTTAGATGATATTACTGTTAAAAATATAACAATTCCTTTCTTTTGTCATGAAAGTAAAGAGAAGTTGGCTATAATAGAATTTTCACATCAAAACTCTCTACCTGAAACCCTTTTTACTGTTGCATTATACTACTTTAATATGAAATATTTCACAACTAGAGGCAGGGGTAGAAAATAGCAACCATCCACACACCCATATTCAGTTTATCAAATCATAACATTTTGTCATATTTAACTTCATATTTTTTTAAAAAATAAAACATTATTAACACACTTGAAGTCTGGTTTCTACCCCCTAATACGATTCCCCATCTCCTAGAAAAGATATTATCCTAAAATTGATTTGCTATTTTTAAGATTGTGTGTATATAAAGAATTTATATGATTATTTAGTGGTTTCTTAAATATTACATGAATTATGCATTTGACAATAGGCATAATGATGACTAAAGTGAGAGTCCAGATGTTAACAATATTGGTCCACCAACAGGAAATTCACCATTAATATTTTTGTTGTTGATAGTAGTAATCACATACTACCATATAAAATTTTCCATTGGGCTCAGTCACATTTAAAGTCTGATCTAATAATAATATACTAATAACACTAATTAGCTAGTATACTCTCTCTCCACTGATTACACTGATCCTAAGCCATCATCTTTGTTATTGAAGGTTATAAACATTTTTCTTCTCTACTTAATTCTACTTTCATATCCTCTTGAGTTTAAATGGGATAAACCAAGAAATTCATGGGTTGTATCCCAGTAGAACTGAAACCATTATGCCACCACTTAAACAAAATATCTAGATTCAACTTTTATGACTTGGAAGATGGTAATTACTGGACATCTAAGCCTAACACAAAGACATCTGAGTACCTACCATCTCCAAACAGGTGTGCCACAAGCCTGGTGAGAGTTTGCTTAAGGTCAAACTCTACAAGCTTCAAGGCCTCCATGGTATGTGTCTCTTGCTTATAAGCAGAGCGAGAACTTTGTTCAAAGAGCTTCAGGCAGTCTCCATCCTTTATATCAGCAAATAACTGTAAACCAAAAGGAAAAGAATAAATACATAAAGCCAGTTGAAATAATATAGAAATCCAGCTAAAACACAAAATTTAATCTGTTATAATATGCAATAAAAACTATATCTCATACTTAATAAAAATACCCAAATTAACATCCACTTAGAAGCAACTTTGAGTAAAGCTCTACGCTACATGGTGCAGAGAGTCTAGGGAATTAAGAGACTGTTCTCATCTTTGCTGATATCTCTCTGTTTTACATTTGTGTAAAGTTATAGTCATTTCCAAGTTAGAGACAGTATCCTCAATTCTAGTGAAAACACAAATGAATCAGGCTTTCAGACTCAAAAATGATATCCCCAACTATCCCACAATGTCCCTGTACTGTGACCTGGGACTAGGTAAGAAAGTATTGTCTGGGAATCAAATCCTGTGAAGTCCACGAAGGCAGGAAGCATGCTGGAATTTGCTACTCTTTTATTTCCAAAGCCCAGGACAGGAATTGCCCCACATTTCTGCCACTTACGATCCATGTGAACACATGCAAGAAATCTGGTAGATATGCCTCTGGTAATGATCTATAAAATGAGATAACACTCAACACACTTTATGATAAATAAAATAATACATGAAAATACAGAGTACTTGGCATAGTGCAATGGCAAAATAAATTTTCCGCATTATCATCATTATCATCATCACTAACAATCATAGCTACTAGTAGTCAAAAATTGCTTTACCAATAAAAGTAGGTAAAGACCTACTTTTTTGCCCATCTGTGGTAAAAAAGTAGGTCTCTACCTGAGCTAGGAGTTTGAGTAACAGAGAATTGTGTATATGAATCTATCATCCTTCCCACCAGAAGTCCCATGAAATAAAAAAAAACAAACGTTTTTATTTAAAGAGTTAATCAACTGACATTTCTAATAATGTTGAGTTTAATTATTAGAATCAATTCTCCTGATAAATGCTACTAAAAAATTGGCAAGAGCATTGAAAAAGTAATAAAATAGAAATTACTAAACAAAACTCTATAAGAAAGTATAAAACCAGGAAAAAAGGCCTAGCACAAAGCCACTGGGAATATCTTGCCTACCGAACATATCAACTGAAAAACTGAACATTGGTTGTGACAACTTAAAATAGAAAGTGAGACAAAAGTGAAACCCAGGGTCTGACCAAGTCAGAGTGTCTGAAACAAACAGCCCTAAAGGAATCATCCTCATCATAAGGAAGAACTCAATCTTGTCCTTGTGTATACCTGCAGTTAGGTGTCATTCCCTGGGCAATAGGGAGAGCCTCAGGCTGTGAAAATGGATTAAGCCAAACCAAGACTGGCAGTTCCTTTAAATGCCCAGAAAAATTATTTACAAAACAGGGTTGGGGAATTGGCTCAGTGTTTAAGTGCCCCTGGGTTCAATCCCCGCTACCAAAAAAAAAAAAAAAAACATTCAGAAAAAGATCCTGTCACAGGCATCAAATACAATGACAAGTGCCAAAGTCTTGTCACAACAAAAGAACAAATGAAACAATTAAATACCATTCCCTCAGCATAATGTGAAAAACGGAATACCTGAGCATCAAAATAACTGTATAAAAAGGTACCCAGGGAGGGAACAATGCCATTCTTAATCCACTAGGAGCCTTTGAGGAAATCAAGTGCAAGCCGAGGAAAACCTAAGGAAAGAAAGAAGAGAGTGAGGTGGTAATGCTGATCTAACATCACCAGTCATTACAGTCACTCGAGTCCAATCTCAAAAATCAACAACAAATATATGAGTGAAAAAAGAATTGCAAGGAGAAATGATCAGACTCAGGAATAAAACAGAAGAAATTAAATCTTCTCAAAACTCAAGATCAAATTGTAAAGTACAAAAGAGACAATGGAGTCAATGGATATTTAATAAGGAACATTGAAGAAAAGCAGAAAAGCAATGAAGGGAAGAGACAATTCAAAATTTTAAAATGAACAACAGACAGAGAATAAGTAGCAGAAATGGAAGAGAAGCAAAGAAGGGACAGTGTTTATATAACTGGAGTCCCCAGAAGAGAAAAGTCACATGATGGAATGCCACTGATGGGAAAATAAAGACAGTGAGAACTTGAGAAAATAAATTATGGAGGACTGAATGGTTAACCCATTAAACTGAAAAGATAACAATGGAAAAGCCCTCATGGCCTCTAGGAAAACAAAACTAAAATAAAATAAATGAGTAAGAATCGCAGGGGCAAGGGAAATTCTTCAAAAGTAACATACAAAACAAGGCAACAAGGGCTGGGGCTGGGGCTCAGCATAAGCGCTCCTCTAGCACATGCAAGGCGCTGGATTGGATCCTCAGCACCACAAAATAAATAAATAAATAAAGGTATTGCATCCAACTACAACTAAAAATAAATTAAAACAAAAACAACAAGGCAACAGTAGAGCCACATTATCAAACAACTCAATTGAAAACTGTATGGACCAAGAATTTTATATCCATCAATGTTGTCCTTAAAGGATCAAGGGTATAGAAAAAGCCTAAAGACACAGGGATGCTACATTATCAGGGAGATCTTTATGAAACTTTACCAATGCAAGAACTTCATGTAAGCAAAAAATAAATGGGAATTTTTCAGCAAAAGAAAAAAAGAGAGAGAGAGAGGGGCTGGGACTGTAGCTCAGTAGTAGAGCACTTGCCTTGCATGTGTGAGGTACTGGGTTCAATCCTCAGCACCACATAAAAATAAATAAGTACAACTAAAAAAAAAATTTTAAAAAGAGAGAAAGAAAGAAAAGCTAATGTGGAGAATATTAATAAAATAAAATTGCAGATTTGACTATAACAAAGCTGGAGATTAAGTTGGATAATTAATATACAATTGTTACATGTGACATGATCCAACAAAGTAGAAATAATGTAACTAAAAATCAGAATGTAGAATACAATCATTGATTATCATGTAGTCAATAGTTAGACAATATCTTAAAAACAAACCAGACTATAAAAAGTTAAGAAAGCAGTACAGTAAGGTGTTTAAAAGAAGTAAGTATAAAAGCAATCATTTAAAAAAATATATAACCTTTCTGAATAGCAACAAAAAGTTTAATTCAAGAGCAAAATAACCTATATCTTATTAAAAAACCAACCAATATAAAATAATGCACAGCCACAAAATATTATGACAAGTTGAGATCAAACAGCCATTGTATCAATAAATGCAAATAAATTTAATTCAGAATAACATTTAAAGGGGAAAACGATGTTAAATTTGGACACAAAGCATGACCCAGCTACCTACTAGATTCAAGAAAAATACCTAAAACAATGTTAAATACAAAGGAATAAACAGATAAAAATAGGAAAATAAAAATATTTTTTAAAAAAATGGCAAACCTGATGTAAAACTAGAATATAAAACCTGATATAAAAGTAGAAAAAAAATTAAAGAAGCAACATACAACACAAAGAGATACAATCTCTAACATAAAGGACTTTTAAAAACTGAAGAAAAGGCAGAACCTCAATTTTAAATAGAGAAAAATACATGAACTATTTATCCTCAAACAATAAGTGAAAATGACCCTTAAATATACAAAAAAAAAAAAAATCAGACAGTGAAATGCAAATTAACCACTGACATATTATTCCTAACCTATGATGCTGGCACAAATTAAAAAGCTAGACAACATATTCTTTGGGGGAGACTTCAGAAAACATGCACTTTTTATACATGGTCGTGGTAATGGAGACTGGAAAAACTCTTGTTAAGGTGAATTTGGCAACATCCTACAAAACTACACTTACTGTTCATCTCCTGACCCACTACTCCAGTTTCTAGCTATTTATCCCAAAGGTATACTTCCCAAAGTAACGCACTTTTCCAAGGTTTTCATAGCATTTTTTTGAAACCGCAAAATATTAGAAATAAAAATCTCGCACTATTAGAGACATGGTGAATAAACTATGAACTACCTATATAATAGAGCACCAGTGGTAGGTGTAATAAACAAGAGCTCTCCGAACGAATAAACTGGGAAGTGAAAAAGGCAAAGTGCGAAATAGATATTATTATATGCCATGTTTTGTGTAGGGAATAAAATAATAAAATACATGTAAGTTTTTTCATTCATGCAAAACAAAAACAAAAAACTAAAGCATAAAACCAAAATTGAAAAAATGAATTACCTGCAAGAAAATGGGTAGAAACAGGAGGAAAAAAAAATGGGTGAATGGGAATGGAGTAAAAAGATCAGGGTAGGGTAGTGACATTCTCTGTGTAAACTTTTTTATACTTCTGACTTACAGAATCCTGTTACTCTAGTAACTCAAAACACCAAAAAATAAAATCCATCCAGAGATGGCTAGAACCCAAAATGAAATACAAAGGATAACAGGGTGTAGAACATTATTTTAAATAAATGACAAAGCCACACTGAAGAAAACAAAGAATTTAATTTGAAAACAGAATTTTAATGAGTTTTTCTACAGTTAAGATCACAATAGCAAATAACTGCATAAAAATTAGTAATTATTTTTCCCACAGAGATACATACTAATAATTCTGAAACTACCTTATATGGTTACTATATAGCTGATCAAACCAGCAAATAAATTTTGGGTAAGAACCAAGTTTCTATTTTTTTGTTGTTGTTGTTTTATTTGTGGAACTGTGGGTTAAACCCAGGGGTGTTTTATCACCAATCTACATCCCAAGTCCTTTTTCATTTTGAAATAGGGTCCCAATATGTAACCACCATGTTGCTTTGTGAAATAACATACTAATAAGGACACAGCATTCATTTCCATTCATTGGCTGGCATCAAAATTTGCCTCAGCCTCTTAAGTTGCTAGTTTGCAAGTGTGTGCCACCGGACCCAGCAAAGGACCAGGTTTCTCACTGTCATTGTCAAAGGCAATGGGGACCCCTAGACCAAACCATTTATTTGGTGCTAGCTTGGAACTGGACACACTCATATGAATTCATATTTTTAACGCATGTGTATAAATAAATACGTCAATACATAAATGGAAACA